ATTGGGTTTCCTAGGCTGTAGATCTTTATGGAAGGAGACTGCCTCCTCTTTCTTCCGCAGAGTGGCTGGTGGATTTGAACCACCAACCTTTTGGTTAGCAGCCAAATGCCTTAACCACTACATCACCAGAGCTACTTACACTGGTGTTCATTGCAACATTAATCATGATAGCCAAAAATTATAGCTCAAGTGTCCATCAACTGATGAATGGACAAACAAAATGTGGTATGTATATACAATGGGATGTTATTCACCTATAAAGAGAAATGAGGTTCTTATACATGCTATACATGGATGAACCTTGGAACATCATGCTGGGTGAAATAAAAGAAAAAACATTGTATGTAAAATATCTAAATGCTAATTAAAGAGGCTCAGGGGGAGGAAAGAAAGTGAGGTTCTTGCTGAAAGGGCAGAGTTTCTGTTAAAAGTGATGAAAAACTTTTAGAAATGATCATGGTGATGGCAGCACAGCATTGTGGATGTAACACCCCTGAATTGTACGGTTAGAAATGGTTAAGATGGCAGATTTTGTTATATATATTTTACCACAATAAGAAGGAAAAATACATTGGGGGAAAAGGAGGCAAGTATGCTGTATGATACCATTCATATGGCGTTTGAGAACAGGCAAAATTAGCACAAGACTCAGGGACTGAAAAGCAGGCTAAGTGGTCACAGCCATGATGGATTGACGCGAGCTGCCAAGGAAACTCATGTAATTGACCATGAACATCAGAAGGAAATCATGCTGACACTGATGTGGGAAGTTCTTCTCCTGACTCTAGTAGTCATAACAAACCACACACCAGTGCTGTGAGATCAGCAGGGACCAGACAAGGAGACTTAAATATGCAGTGAGCTCCAAAAGTCTGACTCATGCACAGCTAGGCATGGCTACGTTAAGGCAGTAACGGAGTATCTTGCATCCACAAGACGGATCTTATGGCAGCTTTGGAGGCAGAGGTTGTGGGCATGTTGAACTCGATATTCACATGATTGGCAGATCTGGAAGGCACTTCTCAGACGGAGCCAAATTCAAAGTGGCAGACAAAACCATGTGGGTGACCAGAAGCTATAAAAGGAAAAGAATCAAGAAATGAGTTTCTTTAGGAAGGAACCAGAAGAGAGACCAGAGGAGCCCCTTCAATAAGAACCAACCGGCCAGTTGCCATCAAGTCACTTCTGACTCCTGGCAACCCCATGTGAGAGCAAAACTGTGCTCTGGAGGATTTTCAGTGGCTGGTTTTTCTGAAGTAGGTTACCAGACTTTTCTTCTGAGGTGCCTGTGGGTAAACTTGAACCTTCAGCCTTTCTGTCAGCGGCCCAGCACATCAAATGTTACATCGCCCAGGCCGCCTCAGGAGGAAAGGAGGCCTGAAAACGGCCTGCAGGCTCGACAGCTGCCAGTGTTTCAAAGTGTCCAAAGCCAAGCAGAGGGTTTGCCCCAGTGAGAAGTTAAGTACTGTGTGCCTTCGCCTCTTTGATATAATACTATCTGATTACTGTAGCCTGGTATCCTAGCAGTAAAACCTGTGGCCTGAGAAACGGGGGTCATTTTGTCTGGTCAGGTCTGAGTGATAATTGAACACAATACAAATCTAAGCAGTAGGGACTGTGAATGGGGAGAAAGGAATAAAAGAGAGTGACACTTTGCACCTAATAAAACATCCGTGACATTTGTCATTAAAAAGCACAAAGGATGAAGTAATTAGAATTATCAAGCATTAACACCTTATTACTGGCCCTTACACTTGTCCATGCAATTAATTACCTTTACAAGAGAGCTTTCTTATATATGGGTTTCATTTACTTTCTAGTGTCTTTTCCCTTCCATCTGCTGAACTTGAGATACACTTTCCACCTTAAACCGAAAATTTAACAAAGCATATACTTTAATACATAAGGCAACGCTAGAAAACTTAATAAAATAATGTTAATGTGCTTGCACCTGGAACCTAATGAATGGGAGAACTGTAATTGCAAATTGCTACAAATGTGTCATCTTGATGACTTCAATACCAGAGGAACAGCTCTGCTGTGAGATTTCTGCCCTGAATATCAGTTGTTGTTGTTGTTGTTATGTGCCATTGAGTCAGACCCGACCCATAGCGACCCCTCCTTGGGTTGCTGAGGCAGTATCACTACGGAAGTAGATTGCCCAATCTACCTTCCGGGGAGTGGCTGGTGGGTTTGAACTGCCAGCCTTCTGGTTAGCAGTCAAGTGCCTTAGCCACTGTGCTAGTAGTACCCTCAAATCATTGTGATAATAAAAATCGTCTCTCAAATTTTCAAAAGACAGTCAAAGAGGTGGTAACGGCCTTATGGAGAACCACTGACATAATACATGCTAAACAACATGGGTTTGAGATTATGTAGTTTTGAGTTTAAATTTCTTGTTGATCATTTTGGCCTTGTGTACTTTAGGGCAAATAACCAAAACTCTGAGCTTCTGCTTCTTTATCAGTAAAAGTCAGGGGCAGGAGAGAACAGAATAAATACCCACTAGTGTACGTGAAAGAAGGAAACAAAATTATATGTGCAAAATATGTGGTGGTGTTGTTGTTATGTGCCTTTGAGTCGGACCTGACCCCTCCTTGGGTTCCGAGGCGATATCACTACGGAAGTAGATTGCCCAGTCTTCCTTCCAAGGAGTGGCTGGTGGGTTTGAACCGCCAGCCTTCTGGTTAGCAGGCAGGTGCCTTAGGCACTATGCTTTCAGAGCTCCCAAAATAGGTAGTAGTGTCCCTGAAATCTTCTTAAACCCAAACAATAGTTGAGCTTAAGTAGTCAAGAATGTCTGCCTTATGTTGATGGGGGAAGAATGATTGGGAAAAGGGGGGTGAGAATAGTTACACAACTTGAAAAGTAATAAGTGTCACTGAATTGTATGTGTAGAAATTGTTGAATTGGTGTATCTTCTGCTGTGTGTATTGTCAACAATAAAATAAATGCTAAACAAATAAATGAAAGAGCAGGCAAAATACTCAATGGTTATAGAAGCCAAGATGATGATTACCCTGAAGAAGGGAAAGGTTGTTTCCTGCAGAAGGTTCCAGAGGAAACTCTTGGGCTCTGGAAATGTTCTATATATTCCTCTGAATAGTGGCTTCATGGCTGTATGCATATGTAAAAATATCTTAAGATAAGTGCACTTTACTAACTTACTGAATGTATGTTATGGATCAGTAAAAAGTAAGAAAAAAATCAGGCCATGGAGTTTGTTGTGGGAAGTGATAGAGAAATATTGTTGGATCTTGACAAATACTTGTGCTTATAAAACTATTCATCCTGTAGAGTAGAGAATAGGTGGTGTAGAACAGTCTTCAGATCCTCTGTTATATGCAGATCATGTGCCTAGCACTATGCTGGATGCTGTTAAGGGACACAAAATAATCCAGACCTGCTCCATATCCTTAAGTATATATCTTTTAGAAATGACAAGTTATGTGAAACCCAGAAAGTTACAATAGATGATAAATGTTTAATTCATAGCATCATGGAAGAGCACTGAAGGCAGACTTGAGTTCAAATCCTAATTCTGTCATTTATTGATAAGCTTTCTGATTTCAGGCAAGCTCTTTATTTCCCTGAACCTTGGTTTTCTTATCTGTAAAATGGGAATAATATGTATTGCCTTTGTTGAGAGGATTAAGAGAGAAGGTATTTGAAGATTGTAGTATAGTCCTGTAGGCATTCAGTTAAAATTCCTCCTTTTTAACCCCACACTCATGGAGTGATACTGTTTATTTAAGGATGTGACCTCAGTTCAACTTACTGCATGTGTGACCTTAAGTAGAATACTTAATTTTTTTTTTTATTTTGAGTCTCTATCTCCACTTGGAGAAAAAGGGGAAAATTGTACCTTGAGAGAGTGTTATGAGAATTAAAGTGAACTTGGCAGATATGTATTATGTAGCGCAAAGTAGACACACTTAATAAATGTAAGAAGGAGCTCTGGTGGTGCAGTGGGTAAAGCATTCGACTGCAAACCAAAACATTAGCGGTTCAAACCTACCAGTCCACTAGCTGCTTTGCAGGAGAAAGATGAGGCATTCTGCTTCCACAAAGATTTACAGCCTTGGAAACAGTTCTACTCTGTCCTATAGAGTTGCTATGACTCGGAATCAACTCAGTGGCAGTGGGTTTTTGGAATAAATGTAAGATCCATTTCTTTTTAATGTAATAAAGTACGTAAATAATGCAAGCAGTAAAGGATAAGATTGGATCACGGTAGTAAAGGACTGCAGAAAGAAGAGGCAGATCCCAGTGTTATTTTTTTTGAAAGATAAAAAGCAAATTTGAATACAGGGAAGTACTTTCTATACTATGACATTGTACAAGGCATGTCTCTGGTACTTCCATTTTTGTCTTTCTATAAAATGAGGATAGTGTAAATATAATCTTGGATTATTTGAAGCTAACTTGAAGGTGAAACAGTAGCAAATATGTTATGGTCTCACAACCCCAAAAAATGATACCTTACTACTAAAAGTTACTCCTGTTTCTAATACTTGTAATAGGCATTGTCATCCAAGTTCCAACTGAACAGTTAGTATCTTTTCTGCGAGCAGAGACCCCTTTCACAATCAAAGGAAAACCTAGATGCATAAAGGGAAGGAAATCTATTTATAAAATATATGTCATCATTTGTCACTTGGAAAATAATCAACAGCGCAGATCAACCCAGGTTTTGTTAGGTATCAGTGATGGGTGGTTTCTTAAAAGGAAGTTTAATTTGCAGGGCATATACTAAGCAGTAAATATTAACATTTCAGAATTGCATTGTTCAGAGTGTTTATTTGAGAACTCACAAGTTGACTGATACCAAATCCTGAACATCAACCTTCTAAGTTTTGAAGCAAGATTTGATTTCCTGTGAAATTTCTAGCTTGGGTTTAGCCACTGATTTCTTGGTTCTCAAGCTTGGAGAAGATGACAAGGTAAAGAACAGCACTTCCTCCTTGCTCCTACTCATCTGTCGTCCTCCTCTCTTACAGATATTCCGAGTGGTGTGCATCTGTTTGGGTAATCCGCCAGAGACATTCACCTGGGAATATCGAGACAAAGATAAAAATTATCAGAAGATTGGCCCCATATCACCCTTGGAGTTCTATAGGGAACACGTCAAGCCTCTCTTCAATATGGAGGATAAGGTTGGAGACTGGCACTGGCAACTACTTGCTGTTTGCTTTCAAATGTCTTTTGGCTACAGGGAGGAGTAAAGACTCCTGGGTTAACTTTTTCGACCATCAAACTAGATACTAAGCAAACTTTTTTTTTTTCCTCTTTCTCTCCTTTTTTTTTTTTTTGAACTTCATATTGTGGTTTGGGTGAAAGTTTCCATAGCAAATTAGTTGGTGTTTTTTTTTTCTTCCCTCTTTCTCTTGAGGTATTTTATGCACTTAATATAGTTGGCCATATCAGGACCTACCACCTTTCCCCAAGGCTCCTCTTCAGAGACTTTCTAACTCTAGGCCAGCAGTCAGTCACTTCCCAAGTGCTTCCCTGATTTGGGCCTAGGCTCATTCTCAGGTACAAAGACAATAAAAAGCATATTGAGTGTTTCTTATCGTGTGTTTAGAGTGCCTCTGTGCTGTGAACCCCTCTGGGGCCTCCCTCAGAGAATGGAGCAGTGTCTTATCCTAGTTTTTCCTGCTTCCTCCAGGCCTTCCCCACTGCCTAGCAAGGTGACCAGAGCTTCCCTCCTTACTGGCTTTTTGACTCTCTTCTATGCAAATGACTTTTGTTTTATGGTTGAAATCCCAACTCCATTGAGGTACTGCTGGATGTTGAGCCTGTGTTACAACTTGAGAGCAAGGGTTTTGTAGTGATGACATCTCCACCTTGCCTTATTTGGTGCAGCAATTTTTCAGTTAGTTTTACAGCAGTTCCAGTAGGGGAAACAGGTAAATGCAGCTCCCACATGTGTCCCAGTTAAGAAGAATAAGCCCATTTTCCCCTGCACTAATTAAAACAGTCAAGGACCTCTCTCACATGTCTCGTACTTCCTTTGGTTTCTTTGTTGTGTAACAGTGCGGTTGTAGTGTTTTATTCTTAAGGCAGAAGTGATAAGCCTGATGCAATTGTATGAGCCTAGAGAAGAGGTGTGATTCTTTCTTGCTGTTCCTGATTTTATGTTCTAATCAGCATATTCTTAATCTCAATAGATTTGTTTAGTGAATGACCCTCGGCCCCAGCACAAGTACAACAAACTTTACACAGTAGACTACTTAAGCAATATGGTTGGAGGGAGAAAAACTCTATATAACAACCAGCCTGTTGACTTCTTGAAAAAAATGGTTGCTGCCTCCATCAAAGATGGAGAGGTTGGTATGTTTTTGTGTCTTTCCCATTGGAGTTAAAACCTCTTCTTTCACTTCTTTGGTGTATAAGAAGATAAGAGTTTATGTTGACTTTCTTTCTTCCTCTCTCCTCTGTTTCTAGGCTGTGTGGTTTGGCTGTGATGTTGGAAAATACTTCAATGGCAAGCTGGGCCTCAGTGACATGAATGTGTGAGTGCAAGAAATTTAAAATAGAAAGTCATTTGTGTGTTGTTGCTGTTGGAGTGCACTCTTGGTATGAAATGACGGCTGAGGTTCATCCAAAGATTAAGGTTGGCCTAAGGGTGGGTCTCTCTCTTTCCACCTTGTAGAGTTTGAGGGTTCATAGTAGAAACAATTCTACCTACCTAAATGCTCTAACCAGGGAAGTCAAGATCATGCTTCATTTCTGAGTTGAAATCTTTGTATGTCCCTAAAAAGTCATATTGTATGAAAAAGACACACACAAAAAATAATCAATTACTATGTAAAACCTGATCATTGCATTTGGGAATGTGATGAAGGGTTTCCTAGAGCTCTTGCTTGCTCTTAGAATCTCCTTAAACTGCTTATCTTACTTTGGTGCCTTATAGGTTTTAAATCTTTGGGACAGCTGGGGCTGATTTGTGTGCTTACTTTAAAGTAGTTCTCCGGATCTTTTATGACAGTGAAGATACATTTGCAATCTAAATCATACAAGATTTCTTGACTGTTAAAATATACCATTTTAGGGTTACTTATAAGTAATTATCACTTGTAAGAAGTTGAGTAGATCTCTTGAAGGTTAATAATAGGAGAAAAGAAAAGAAATCTGCTGAGATAATTAATGAGTACTTTTTAACTTTGAGTGTGTTCTTCATTATTTTTGGCCTTATTTGTTTAAGTTTCACCATCAGCAATGGTCTGAATGAATTCAGAAACTGGCTGGTTCTACCACCTCAGAAGGGACCATTTTTGAAAAAATTTACTTCAAAAGAGATTTCATTATTTATTGAAGTTCTCCTTTTTAAGGTTTTCTGGCCGAAATAATGGTGTAAACTTGTCAATTTTTTTTTCCCCCAGTTGTGATTAGGGTGAAAGTTTACAGAGAAAATTCATTTTCCATATAGCAGCTCATATACATTTTGTCTCATGACATTGACAGCAATTCCCCACAATGTAACAACTCTTCCCACTTCCTCCCCGTAGTTACCTCTTCCCTCCTGTTCTCCCATGGTTGATCACTCCAAGTAGTGTATCTGCCTGATGTAAATGTTCAGTATATATGCCTATTATTTGGCCGGAAGCCACAAGAGTGAGGTTAATTCCAGACCCAGAGGGTAGCTAGGGGCCAAAGTCTCAGGAGTCTCACCAGGTTCTATCAGACCAGCAAATGGGGTCCTTTTTATGATTTTAATTGTTGTTCCACATTGTTTTCCCACTCTTCCCAGGATCTCCTGCACCAATCCCCCTCTGAGTGGTTGACAGTAGTAGCCAGGCACCATCTAGTTCTTCTGGTCTCCTGATCATATAGGCTGAGGATCGTATGGTCGACCAGTCCCTTGGACTAATTGTTTCCATAAGCCTTTGGTTTTCTTCATTCTTCTTTGCTCTGGATGAGGAGAGACCCATCACTGCATCTAGGTGGCCGCTTGCATACTTTTGAGATCCTAGTCACTACTCACCAAAATGGGAGCTCTGGTAGCATAGTGCCTAAGGCACTTGACTGCTGACCAGAAGGCTGGCAATTCAAACCCACCAGCCATTCCTCGGAAGGAAGGTGGGGCAATCTACTTCCGTAGTGATACTGCCTCGGAAACCTAAGGAGGGGTCGCTATGAGTTGGGTCCGACTTGACGGCACATAACAACAACTCACCGAAGTAGGATGTAAAACAGTGTTTTTGTGTAGTATATTATGCCAGTTGAACTTGATGTCCCCTGTGACCATGGTCCCAAGCCCACAGGTCCAACTATTTGTCAGCTTTTTGATACAAAGAGTTTTTGTTTAATCATATATGTTTTAAAGACAGTGGAATCCCATTGAGAGATTAAATTTTGCATGTGCATATTCCCTCTGAAGGGTTAAAGTTGGAATCCATATTTATTTACTTGGAGCTATTAAGCCCTTTGATTTCTTTAGTGTTTACTACAGAAGCCAGTTCTCCCGCATGATTATACTCCCTTTATTTTATACCATCATTCTTTTTACAGCTATGACCACGAATTAGTTTTTGGTGTCTCCATGAAGAACATGAACAAAGCTGAGAGGCTGACTTTTGGGGAGTCGCTGATGACCCACGCCATGACCTTCACTGCCTTCTCAGAAAAGGTATGGCCCTCCCTGTGCCTGCTGCAGCCTTTGCTCGGATGGAGCCACACTCTCCGGCAGCCTGTTCATCCGGCAGAGCCTCGTCTGTGCTGTACATGATTTCTGTTGAAAGTCAGCTTCCGAGCAAGACATGGTGCCTGTGTCACTGGGGGTTTGGCTGCGTGTTCAGAGGTAATGAGAATAGGAACTTTCCGTGAGGAGCAGAATTTGGGTCACAGGGAGTAAGGAAGTAACTGCTTTTCTGTTACTTTGGAAATTCTTGGTGTGAAGAGTTCAGCACAAGAACTTGGAAAAAGAGAGCATCTATTTTTTTAGGGCCAGGAAAGTGTCAACAGTGTTCATATCTTGATGACCTTATTCAGATTTACCTTTCTTTCATGTGTCATTCAGATTCTTCTGCAGTAAATTGTCAGTCACCATAATTTGTGGACTTCATGTTCATTTCTGGATTTATGCAGGGCTTCAGGAAATTGTACTTTGAATTGCCTATGAAATACTATGAATAGTAATGTCCCTATTTCTAGGACAAATATTAGAAATAGCAAGTGGAATTTTGTCTTTCTCAAATAAGCCTCCCATTTCCAGACTATACAATGGATATTTTACCTCTTGTGCCTCTTTAGGAGCTCTGGTGGCATAGTGCCTAAGGCATTCGATTGCTAACCAGAAGGTTGGTGGTTCAAACCCACCAGCCGCTCCTCGGAAGGAAGGTTGGGCAGTCTACTTCCATAGTGATACCACTTCGGAAACCAAGGAGGGGTCGCTATGAGTCAGGTCCAACTCCAGGGCATTGAGTTTGTTTTTTTTGTTTTTGTGCCTCCTTACTGATTTACCTGTTTCTCCATGTATAATTCAGTGACATTGATTGCATTCTTAGAGTTGGGTCACCATTCTTACCCTCCTGTTCTGAGTTGCTCCAACCCCAGTAACGTATACTCAACGCCCCTAACATTCCTATCTAATTTTTCAAGTTTTCCAAGTTGCTGTTGTTCATTAGATCCCATATAGACAGTTCTTAAAAGAGCATAATGCTCAAAGCAGCACTTTTTTTTTAAAAAAAACTAATTATGCTTAACTGTTGTTTGGCTTTCAGAGGCTTCAGGGGATTTTTTTGGTTTAAGATTTAAAGGTTATTTCAGAGCATTAGTTTCAGGGGTTCACCTCACTTTCATAGCTCCAGGAAGTCTAAAATCTGTGAGCATTTGAAATTCAGTTTTGTATTTTCCCCCTTTTGATCAAGATTCTTCTATAGAATCTTTGATCAAAGTGTTCAATAATGGTAACCAGGCATATTCAGTTCTTCTGGTCTCAGGCAAAGCAGGCATGAACTACTTTTGTTCTTTGTCACCATCAGCAAACATTTTCTCTGTCTGATTACAAAAAAAAAAATCAAAGAATAACTGCCTTGTGTAAATTGTTTTAGAAAATAATTTGATAGAGAATTGTTTTTGCTATCCTACCTACTAGATTTGTGATCATTAAAACACTTAGAATTATCTTAGCATGTTATTAGGGAACCATGGTGGCAGTGATTAAAAGCACTCAGCTGCTAACTGAAAGGTCAGTTGGTCAAACCCATCAGCCATGGCAATCTGTTTCCGTAAAGATTTACAGCCTTGGAAAACCTGTGGGGCAGTTCTGCTCTGTCCTATAGAGTTGCTATGAGTCAGAATTGATTTGATGGTAGTAGAGTCTTGGGTTTAGCTTATCATTATGCCAGATTTTCCTAGATAGTCTGTCTAGAATTCCTAATTTGTTTTTTGTTCTGCTAGGCAAAATTGTGAGTTGGGTGGGGTTTTTCTTTGTAGTACTTCTTTCTGGACTGCTTTGGAAGATAGCTCTTCCAGTACTTTATTTGCCTGTGCCCCTTTGACCCTGTGGTATCTCAAAACCTCATGCTCTTTCCCCATTCAACACCTGATGCGAAGGAAGACTTTGTTACATGGGTACAAATTACAGGGTTGTGGCTTTAAGTGGATCTCTGATGGCATAAGGCACTTGACTGCTAACCAGAGGGCTAGCGGTTCAAACCCATCAGCCACTCCTCAGAAGGAAGACTGGGCGATCTACTTCTGTAGAGATACCACCTCAGAAACCCAAGGAGGGGTTGCTATGAGTTGCAATTGACTTGATGGCAGTGAGTTTGGTTTTTGGTTTTTTTTTTTTTTTTTTTTTTTTTTGGCTTCAAGTGGTAATTAAAGAAGTTTTTGCAATTTGATTTGAAATTAAACATGGTGTGGTGTAAAAAATACCCTGAACTCATCAGGCGGTCCTGTGCTGATATTCCTGATCTTCGTGTAGTTTTCATAATAAATGTAAAGGTTGAATTGTATCAGCTGGTGCATTCTTTTCTGTGTCTTTCTCTTCCTTGAGATTCTCATCGTATAGGTAGCACCACTCCAATAGTCTGTTAGATTATTCAGGGTTACTCAGGAAAATAAGGGTGTGGAGTACAGTAGGTGTTGTATAGATCAGGGAAAGCCATTTGAGGATAGCAAAAGGTAATTTGAAAGTTTTATCACTAAGATTTAATGAAATTTTCTTTTAATTGCATTATAAACAAAACATAAAAAAAGGAATGAGAAATTATTTTAAATAAGGCTGCCTTTTGTCATGAAGGAACACATTAGAAGTAACTTTTCATGAATAAAATACTGAGTAAACTGTTTGAGTAAAATATTTGAACGTTCTATATTGTAAAATCCAGTGAATTTGCTGCCAAACTAAAACTTCCTAAATTCATTAAGCTTTTTAACTGTTGAGGGAGCTATTGAAAAATAACAAATAAAATAAGACCTGTTTTAATGTGCAGGAGAAGTTTTACTTTTTATCATGACCGTCTCTGTTATGAAATATTCCCATTTTTCAGAAGTAGAAATCATGCATACTCCATGCCATTTTCTCTGGATCTTCCCTCTTTGGCATGGTTTACTAACGTGTCATTCTTCCTCAGGGAAATGGAGCTACCTTACATGTTAATAGTATAAAGCAGAATATATTGCCATCGAAACCAGAATTTTGTATTGAGATTTTTCTCTTCTTTCCACTTTGAGTCTTTGACCACTAAAACTAGTTTGAACTACATTTGAATAATAATGCAAAGATGAATACATACTAGTAGTTGTATTTATGGAATATTCTTTTTTTTCCTATTGCTAGTTTCTTAGAATCCTCCTGAGGGAGGTCCAAGTGATATCATCCCACATTTGTAGATGGCAGAGAGAACAAAGTGATCTAGGTCATGTAGGAATTCATTGACAACAGAAATAATAGGAAACTTTTCAGACTTGGCAACAAATAAATGATTATAAATGATATAGTTCTATGAATTATATTTAAAAGGAAAGGAATAGGACCCCTAAACAAACGTTTAATATGCCGTCCTCAGAATGTATACTTCAGTGACATGGTATGGAGGTTCTTGGAGCAAAAATTATGCAGCAGTACAAGGAGGGTGTTTAAGACTTGTGGCTGATGGAATGCTGTCTGTTCCTAAGTAACAGTAATGTTACTGTTGAAACATTACCAAGATCCAAGAAAACTGTGAGAGTAGAGTGTTCAAGTCAGCAGAGCCAAAGGAATAAAATCCCATGTAAGTGAGACTTGTCATGTGAGGGGGAGTTGACAGATTAAATCATTGTGGAGGTAATACAGGGCCAGCTCTCTTCTCATGCTACATGGATTTAGTTCTTTTGACATCAGCAAATGCCCTGGGTAAACATTAAAGAAAAAAATCTTTTCCCAGTGGAGCCTTCTGCTTGTCCTTCTCTCTATCTATACAGTAAAGGCTATCATAATGAGATCACTGTTCCTTTAAGAAACTGAAAATGGAGCTTATTTTATTAATGTGGATGGAAGACACAGAAGAGTAGAACTGCCTGGGTTTTGTTTTATGAAAATGATCTTTTTGCTTTTGCTTTGCTTCAATCTCTGTTGTATTAAATTCCATGCTTTTGTAACTGAATCAGTAAAAGAGCACATTTGGAGAGTACCATAGCTTAGTTTCCATAATCAGAAAATCAGGGACCATGATGAGAATGTGGGTTTGAAAAAAACAACAAAGTCTGACCAGGTCTTAGACTCGCTTCTAAAATAAATACAATGGATGCCTTTGTAAAGAATGCTGATTAATTAAAAGCAAGTATCTCTGTCTTCAAATAGTGTTCACTGTTTTTGTTAATATTTCACTTAGCCAAGGAATAGTTTTAAACATGCTTATTTTCTGTATGGAACAGAATAGAATGCAAACAAGAGGATAGTATTTCTTGGTTTGTTAGCTTTATTGCAGTCATGCATATCATGGCTGTATAGAGCAGGAGTGTTTCCTCTGAGTGACTTCAGAAGAGCTAAAATTACATGACACCTCAGCAGGGAAAGCTGAGTTACAGCCTCAACACTATTGCCCATTGTTTTGCAGGATGATCAGGATGGAGCATTCATGAAATGGAGAGTGGAGAATTCATGGGGTGAAGACCATGGCCACAAAGGTGAGCTTAATTCTATAATACTAATTCAGGGTGATGGGTCTGTGCTACTCTGCCTTTATGATATGGATGAAAGGTGCTCTAGTGTGGGTGATTTTTCAGTAATTGGTCCCCTTGGGATCTGGTTTGCACTCAGAATCCCTGTGACCAGCATAGCATGCCTGAACTCCAGCTTGGCTCTGAAGCCAACATTGGCTGTCCTGAATTTGGTGTCTTAGATTCACTCCAGTCCATGTCAGTCCCACTAGATGTCTTTGTACTGCCTTAGTCGTGAGAAGGTAGGGTGGGCTGCCCTTTGCCAAGACATCCACTACAGACGTAGCATTTAGTATGTTCTCCTCTACTGTGTCAACTCCCAGGAGAAAGCCAGAAGCCTTTTGAGTGGGAGAATGGGCTTAGCAAAATACAGTTTTCTTTAGATATTTATTAAAGACTCCCTAGAAACTGAGGCCTAAGGGGGAAAAAAAAATGCCTTGAGTACCATTTAGAACCATTTTACACTGATAAATCAAAACCCAGGCTGCAGTCATAAGTAAATTATAGTGAATAGGCTAAAAAATATGACACAGGCAATATATGAATTGTAGAAAAATTTTAAATATATACGGGAGCTCTGGTGATGTACTGCCTAAGGCAGTTGACTGCTAACCAGAAGGGTGGCGGTTCAAACCCACCAGCCACACTCCTCAGAAGGAAGGTTGGGCAATCTACTTCCATAGTGATACTGCCTCAGAAACCCAAGGAGGGGTCGCTGAGTCAGACCTGACTCGACAACAGTGAGGTTTTATAGGTGAATAAAAAGAAACCAAAAGTCCATTGCCGTTGAGTCGATTCCAACTCGTGATGACCTATAGGACAAAGTAGAACTGCCCCACAGATCTTCCAAGGCTATAAATCTTTACAGAAGCAGGTTGCCACAGCTTTCTCCCCCGGAGCAGGTGGTGAGTTTGAGCCACCAACCTTTTGCTTAGCGGCTGAGCACTTACCCACTGTACCACCATGGCTCCTAAACAAAAAGAAAATAAAAATCTCTTACAATCCAACCATCCAGAGATCACCGTTGATTCATATTTTAGAATGTTGTTGTTGTTATTTGCCATTGAGTTGGACCCAACTCATAGTGACCCCTCCTTGGGTATATAGCCTTCCAAATCTTTTATGACCAAATTCTTAAAGATTGCTTTTAATAATAGTTAAAATCCTTTTATAGGAACTTTTTTGCTTTTATATTAGGATTTCAAAGCAAAGTTGGCCACGACCATGGAATATATGTGCACATAAGCATGAATATGGCAGTGGCACTCTGTGGGCATTTACTCAGCCAGCTCTTTCCCAGAGTTCGCATTCCTTACTTCTGACCAGTGGATTCTGGCTGGGAAAAGCATATTAACCACTGCTTCCTAAACCAACGTGAGGGCTGGGAAGAAGTGAGATACTTAGGCACTTGGAACCAAGCTTCAGCATGCCTCTCACCCAAGCAGAAATCAACCAGCCATTTTCTGAAAAAGAAGTAGAAGAGAAACTCGAGTTTCTGTTTTAGAGATCTCAGTAATAGAGCTCTTTGTCCGTTGCCTCCCTCTATGTTAGGTAGTGATTTTCCAGCTGGGTTCTTTAAACCCCTTAGAATTTCCAGGGGTAAAAGATGGGGGAGGAGGTATAGTGATTTGGAAGGTAAACAGATGGGACTTTAGTCGCTAATATTTAAAAACTGTCCCGCAACTAGAAGGGGGCTCTGGTGGTGCAGCTGGTAACCAAAAGGTTGGCGATTTGAACCCACCAGCCACTCTGAGAAAGATGACTCAGTCTGCTTCCTTAAAGATTTACAGCATGGAAACCCTGGGGCAGTTCTACTCTGTCCAGAATGAACTCCACAGCAATTTATTTTGTTTTTTGTTTTTCTTTCAATGACATGAACAACAGTGGCTGCAACAATGGGCTCAAACATGGCAATGATTAAGTGGATGGTACGGGAGCAGGCAGTGTTTTGTTCTTTTGTACATGGTGTCCCTGAGTTGAAACTGACTTGACAGCACCTGACATCAGCATAGTTAATTAAGGAACCTTGTGGTGCAGTGGCTGTGTGCTCAACTGTTACATGTTGATGGTTTGTACCCCAGCCTCTTTGTGTGAGAGGGAAGTGGTGGTCTGCTTCTGTGGGGATTGCAGCCTTGGAAGCCCTAGTTCTGCTCTGCTATAGGGTCTCTATGAATTGGAATTGACTCTGACGGCAGAGGGTATTGTCTATAACTTTCTAGTTTTGTACAAATTTACATTCCCATCAGAAAAGTAACAACATTCCTCTCTTGTCCATATTGTCATAATTTAAAACTCTGCTTATTTGAATGTAATAATTGTCTAATTATTGTCTTCATGTGCATTTATTTGATTATTCATGAGAAAACTTTCTAACATTTAGTTATATTCTGTTCTTTGATTGTCTATTCATGCCCTTTGCCCATTTTCCCATCTGGTTCTTATTGGTTTGTGTGAGCTTTACATGTTAAGGATAAAACTTTTGTCTATATCAGTCATATTTGTAGAAAATTGTTTCCCCAACTTGTAAAAATAAAAATAAAAACTGTCCTAGAAGAGCCTGTTTATCATAGTTTTGAACTTGACAGGACTTGAGTATGCTGATTGGTGAGCAGCACAGGCCAGTATATGATGGTCAAAATCTGAAGGTGGTTTAATCTTTCATCCTAAATCTTTTCATCTCCCCATGAAATTGATCATTGGTGGTTTTTGGCTAACTGTCCCTGGGATCTGTTGTGAAACTCAGCAGCTCAGTTTTTATCTGTTAACAGATACAAGTGCTGTTAATACATTTCTATTCATTATCCAATAGTTACAGGAGCTCTGATAGCGTAGTGCCTAAGGCACTTGACTGCTAACCAGAAGGCTGGCAGTTCAAACCCACCAGCCACTCCTCCAAAGGAAGATTGGGCAATCTACTTCCCTAGTGATACTGCCTCGGAAACCCAAGGAGGGGTCGCTATGAGTCGGGTCCCACTCGATGGCACATAACATCAGCAACGACATCCAATAGTTGCATGTTCCCCCTTCTGTGATTTCTATTGTTCTATGATTTACAGGGATGCTTATTAAATTAACTATTCACAAATGAAAATACAACATGTTTTTTAATTGATTATTTTTTTTAATGAGATCAATTTCGTTTTATGATAAATACACATTAGGGTCAGATGGAGAAGGGTTTAGACCTCAACTAAGCTAACAGAAGGAGTTTAAGAAACCCTTAACTCACAAGTCAGTTATATCTGTAAGTAGGTGGTAGTTAAGACATGGAATGTAAGGGAATAACTTAAAGTTGGAAGGATTTGATTATTTGTAACCTATTTTAAAATATAAGATACTGGGCTAAACTGTTTTTCCCCTGCTTCAAGTGAACTTCTGTAGCTCCTATTTCATTACTGGTCTAATTTGGTCCCTGTGATTGGGCTCATTATCCACATAGGTTAGTGTCTAAGAAAAAAAACTCCAAAATTATGGTTTGGGCAGATGGCCTAGATTCATTGGCCTGCTATTTTGATATTTTTTCCATCTATAACATTCACTAAGTTTGTAGATAGTGGTCATATCTGCTTAAGAGAAGATAAACATTTGTAAAGTCAGGAAAATGTGTTGTTTTATGTGTGTGTATTATTTTCTCTCTTACTCTGAACCTAAATACCCTTCTAAAGAAGGGAACCTCATCTCACGCTTTGGACATGTTATGAGGAGGGTCCAGTGTCTGGAGAGGGCCATCAAGCTTGGTAGAGGGTCAGTGAAAAAGGGAAGACCCTCAATGAGGGATTGAACCATACAGGGGCTGCAACAAGGGGCAAATACAGCGGCGAATGTGAGGATGGTGTACAACTGGGCGGTGTTTTGTTCTGTTGTGCACAGGATGGTTGTAGTTAAAGCTGTGTGTCAGCTTGGCTGGGCCATGATTTTGAGTGGCTAGGCAGTTTGGTGTAGTTACTCCCCGTGAGGAGATTGGATGTGGTGTGATCACCCCCATGGTGGAATCTGCTGTGCGCGGCTAATCAATTGAAGGGGAGTTGCCTTCAGGTTATGGCCTGCTTCTGGTATGTATAGAAAAGCTTTGGGAAAGGTCTCTAGTTTTTTCCTCACTTTGGGATCCTGCGTTTGGCCTGTTGTCATCAATCACCTCGAGTTCCTGAACTTGAACCAGTGGCCTGCCAATCTGGGGATTATTATTGCCTTCACAGCTTATGAGCCAACAGTCTGCTATTTTACCTGCTGATCTTGGGTTCGTCAGGCTTAGCCGCCACAGCCTGCTATACTTCCTCCCTGTCTTGAGTTCATCAGCCCCTGTTGCTGCGTTAATCAGGAGACCCTCCAGCTTGCCCAGTGGGCCTGGAAGGCAAAGCTGAAGGCCAAGGTCAAGGGGCCTCCACCCAGCCCCTAGAGCCAGTACCCTGAACTCAGGCTTCTAGCCTGGTCTTCCCCTAGGGTTGGCACTCTGAATTTGGACTTCTACCTTTCTAAACTGTGAGAGAATAAATTTCTGTTTGTTAAAGTCCCCCACTTGTGGTGTTTCTGTTATAGGAGCACTAGAGAACTAAGACAGTCGCTGTGAGTCAGAACCCATTCAGTGGCTCCTGACAACAGAGAAGATTCTGGGCCAGTTTGCTTTCTTTTTTTCCTTTCAGCTCTACGTCTTTATTCCTACTCACTAAGCATTTCCTTCCGTTACCTTACTCATTCCATCACTGTTTTAAGAGAACCGAGGTCTTGATCCCAGTGATCTGCTTGCAGTCTTTCCTGGTGAAGTCTGCAGCTATCTAGTTAAGATTAAATTCACTTTTTGTTGTTGCTAAATAACTGAAATGCCAGAGATTATCCAAAGTAAAGCATTTCAATAGAGAGCCAAAAGACAAGAAATTGAACTGGAGTAGAGGTAGGGAATGCTTCATTCAAAGCCAAAATAAATTACTTCTGTGTATTTCCTAGTAATGTTCTTTCTGACTTAATAGGAA